TAAAAGGTTCCCGAACATCAGTCATGTTTTTGATACTTCCACTTGTCGACTTATATATAGTATGTCAGTCAAAGCTCATCTGCGCGTGGTGCAGCTTCCACCCCAGGCAATTGTTGGCGTCTTTATTGACCTGTCTCGTTCACGGCGGCGGCGGATACTTCGCCACGGAATGGTGTTGTCACGTGGCCGTCCTTGCTCGTGGCACGCCCGGCTCGTGGCGATTCGTCTGCCTACCTCACTTTGTGTGAATCAACGCCACTCCTTCAGGCCTTCCCTTCTCCTGCTCATCATCCTCTTCCTCTCGCTATTTGCATTGCCCGCCCCCCCCGGCCTTCCGACCCGCAAGAAAGACGATGTCGTCCGCGCAATCCCTCAACATAGCCCAAGCCATGGACATTGTCATCGGGTTCCACACCGAGACTACCTTTATGGCTGATGATATATCAGACGACGCAGTAGGGTGAGTGTATTAGCCATTTTTGCCGCCTCCCCTGTGATTTCTAACGTTGACCAGCCACCTCATAACTCTGGGATTCCCGGTCTCCCTTGCTCTCTTGTCCGACGCCGCGGAGGAGCTGGTGAAAAAGACTCATCGCGACTACAAGATAAACGCATTGCATACTCTGCGCACCTCAGTCGCTCTGGTCCGTTGCTCAGGCGGCTTGAACAACCTGGTAGATCAGGTTGAGACGAGCTTGAACCTGGGAGAGGACGTTGTTGCGACGGTCAATCAGGTGCGAGCTTCAGTCGCTTTCTCCCCTAGCGCCGTATCATCTCACGCGGCCATGTAGCTCGCTGTGATCTGCCGCGCTCGCCCCGCACATATGTCTTCCAGTCAACTGCAGATGCTGGAGAGACTACTTCTCGAAATTGAAGGAGATCTGTGCAAGGCTGGCGAAGCCATCGGCGTCATTATCGACTTCATCGACGCAAAGGGCGAGCACCTAAAGCTGCTAGGTCATCTACAGGTGTGTAGCTATGAGCATCCGATACCCCTGCATAGCACTCAGTTTGATTCCGCAGGAGAAAGAGCATTTCGACCGTATCACCTCGTCCCTCCGAGAACCTCCACTCGCACAAGAGCTGGCCGCAGTCGCACGGGATGCTTTGGATGTGCTGCGGCCAACTTTGTATGAGCCGTTTTCTGTGGCCGATCGAAGTGGCGAAGAGGTCGAACGCGTGGTGGCCGAGCTTCAATCTCTTGACGTCGGGCAGTTGAACCGCAGCGTTTTAGACGAAAAGATGGCCGGCCTAGTGCGCATCCGTGACGAACTCGGTGTCCTCCAGGAGGCCCAGCCGGTACGGCTAGCGGCCTTTTCGGTAAGTATGATAGCACATACTTTTGCTTTTTTTCTTAACCGTGTGTTCTCGCTCCCATCAGCAAGCGCTCAAATCCCCTGTGGCCGTTCCCACTTCTATCCGTGATGAAGCGTTCGATGTCGACTTGGAGATCCTTGATGCTACGGCGGTCTCCTCGACCCTCGCACAAGCTGACGGCACCATGAAGGAAATCGTTGGTGGGGTAAGACCTGATCCGTGTTTGCGGCCAGCTCTTGAGGCTGACGTCCTATGGAGCTCCAACAGGCAAAGGCCCTGCTGCAGAGACTGCACAACCAGTTCGCTGTGCCCGGTGTCCATGATCTGCCGCAGGAGTGAAGGCCGCCAGAGGCCGTACATGAGAAGATGTGCCGGTACATCCGCGTCGCTCGCAACCAAGGCAGCAAGTCGTCCTAACACCCCCTCTCCCTCTGTTTCCCTGTCTCCGTGTCTCCGTGTCTCCGTGTCTCCGTGTCTCCGTGTCTCCGTGTCTCCGTGTCTCCGTGTCTCCGTGTCTCCGTGTCTCCGTGTCTCCGTGTCTCCGTGTCTCCGTGTCTCCCCATTTCTCCTCTCTCCGCGAGAGCTTCTGTCTCTTTTTCTTTCGGTTTGGAGACGACGCCGCATCGTCCGCTCGCAGTACGGCTCTCCCGATCGCACCATGTATTACGATTGGTGCTGTATAATCCATCGCGTACCTTCCAATACACTCA